GCGCTGCTTTATATCTTGATACAAAGTACTTGTTCGTACGTGAGCGAGTTGAGGAAAATAAACTTTGTATTGAGCATATAAGTACTAAGAATATGCTTGCGGATCCGATGACTAAAGGTCTCCCTCCTAAGATTTTCGAAGAACATGTTTCGAAGATGGGGTTATCTAAAGACCTTATTTAGTTGCATATTGTACTTGCTTACATTTAATAATAAAATTTCCTCATTGTTTTGTTTGTTTGTCTCTGAATGTGTCTACGCATGTCTAAAGACATATAGACAACATTTATGTACAAAATAATCTTATGGGCTTAATTGTCAATTTGATCCTTAGCTTATTTAAGTTTTAAATTTGGTATTGTAGCATGATTAATGGGGGTCTTGAATTGAGTTTCGATTCAATGACTGTATTTCTTTGCTACAGTTTCGGTTTAGAACTAAAATGAGTATTAAAATCTGATCAGACTTATCTAATACTCATCATAAATGATTACTCGGCCAAGTGGGAGAATGTTGGACACGATTTTATTATGTGGCCTGAGTTATCATTTATCTAATTAATTGATCATTGACTTAATAAATACCCTACGTATTTAATTGGTAATTTTTGGCTATCCCTAGCCTTCGGACCTGGAACGGATTTTCTAACCCTACTAGGCTAGGGATCTCTGTCTCCTGCTATCAAAGATATGGTCATGAATCCTGGAGCCAGGTTGAGGGTGACGTGGGTGCGAGACTTTTGGAAGCAACATCGAAGGCTGCATGCAGGCCTGCAGCAACGCCGGCTCTTCGTATAATCGCTAGCTGTAACTTGTAAGTAGATAAGTACTCCTCTTACGCAAATTATCAGAACCCGTTCTTGTTCTTCTTCTATTGAACGCCGCCACAAAACCCTCTTCTTCTTCGATCATCAGAGTCCGCCGCCAACCCTCCTCTCAATGTCCGATTCTGCAACGCCGGCGACAGGCGACAGACTACGAAGGCGCAGTGACTCAATTCATGGAGACGGTCGGCGAGTTCCTTCGTCGATTCAACATCAACCGCCTGAGGAGGCGGTGCTCTGGCGACGGTGAGAGAACTCCGGCGAAGCGCAGCGGCATTCGGCGACTTCCCTCCGGCGACGTCCAGTCAGCCACTACCATCTATTCCGGCGAACCAGCCCAGACATCCTGCGGTTCACCTCTGCTCTGGCGACTGAACCAGCGGCGAGAATTGAGCCAGCGAAATCCGGCGAGGAATCTGGTGGCGAGCCTCTGCTCCGGCGAGAATAGCGGCGGCGGCGTCTAGACGGCAGACCAGTGACGGCGTCTGGGCAGCGACTCCGGCCATATCTGCGACTGTGGTGACCCAGTGTTGGCCGTGAACAGTTCAAATTTGTGACAGTCATTGTTGATCAACGGCTTACTTCTAGCGCTTTCAGGTCAATTTCAAGAGAAGAAGAGGTTTGAACTTTGAATAGACCTTTGAAATCGGATTTAGCTTCGTCAACGGGTTTCTTTCTGTTAGATCTCTCATGTTTCTGTGTTTTGTGCAGAGGGAAAGACAGATTACAGAGCTAGGACTCGGCTGATCAATCAGGACAAGAACAAATATAACACTTCGAAATACTGCCTTGTTGTTTGATTTGTATGTGCTACAAACTTTTTGGTTTATTTACCTACTGTGACTTTTTTCAGTTTGTGGTGTTCATCTTGAGTCTTTTCAATTTTCTCATTTTGTTTATGTTCATTTACTCCATTTTTATTGTGTATTAAATGTTTTTCCGATGTTACACATTTCTTGTATTTCACACAAAATAATTCTCATGTTTTTGTTATAGTAAGAACAAAAAAGGTTGTGTCGTGACTTATTGCTTCAATAAAAATACAAATTATAAATTAATAAAATCTAGTAAAATTTGTTCCATCTAGGACCAAAACATATGTGTTTTCTCCTAGATAGGAGTGGTATGTTTTTTTCCCTTGTTTAGGAGTTAAAATGCACTGGCCACCCAAAAATACCCCTCCACCCACGGCACCCGTTTTTTTCTCATTTTTAAGTGATAATGATTAAGAATTAACTCCCCATTATTTTAGTTAACCGTTACCCTTTTTTTAGCAAACCATTACTTCCAGTTCTACGGCTCTTCCCTCTCCTTTAGCCATACTCTCTGCCGCATCTCCCCTCTCCCAGCCATCTCTAACTCTCTCTGATCTCCCCCAATCCCCCTCACAATTCAATATGTTTTCTTCATTATTTCTTTATGTATCCAATTTTGCAACTGGCACACCTGCGAGCATCCACTGTCTCTTGCAATTTGATGGCGAATGGGATGCTAATGGTGTTTTCTCTTACACACATGCATATGAGATTGACATTCCTATTCACGCTCCATACCAAGCCTTGCTGGAGATGATTCGCAATACGGTCCCGTCTTCTTATGGAAATTCTGTTTTTATAATTTCGTACATGTCTAATTCATGCGCAAGTCATGTAGCCATTAATGATGATGCGAGCCTTCATGCCTACCTTCGTTTGAAGAGCACCTATCCGTCGTTGCATGACTTCCCTTTGTGCGTTGAATTATGTGATTTTGCAGAAAGGAGTGTTTCAAATGGAGGGTTAGTTCCTGGAGGAGTTCCACAGATTTTTTGGCTATCATTCCGACCTAAACTCAGATGCCCAGGAAGAAACTGAATCGGACGCATCGGTTCATCATGCTCTACAACATGAAACCATGCGAACTGTTTCTGAAGACAATATATCATCTCATTATGCCTTGTCTATGGAGTCTTTATTTGACACATATCATGGTGTTGAGTCCCCAGTCCGTAATGACCAAAATGGGGATTTGGTTTGCTGCAACTCTCCTGGATCCGACCGCTCTGGTTTTGTTATGTCCCAGCAAGAAATTGACTCTCTGAAGGAGATGCGTGTTACTTCTCGGTTTGATCCAACCAGGATAGCCGTTGATGCCATATATGCTAGCAAAATGGATCTCGACTTTCATTTGAAGATGCTAGCAATTTCCAACTGTTTCCAGTACCGTACCAGGACGTCAAAAAAATCAGAGCTCCATGTTGTGTGTGTGGACTTCCCTCGGTGCAAATGGGCTGTTCGGGCGGTGCGTTTACCAGGCGTTGACATGTTCCAGATACGTAGGTGCGTTTACCAGGTGTAATTTTTTTTTAAAAAAGGAATTTATATAGGATTTTTATAACCCGCCCCCAACTTCCCAGCCACTCCCCAACACTTATGAGAGCTATTTGGGGAGGCTCCTTTGCTGACCAACTTGACATCCCCGTCCCACTTGCTTTCTTTTTAATTCAAAAACCAAAAAAACAAAAAAAAAAACTAACGGTTAGAAACTGGACTCGGTTCCGGTAACACCCCTCTTCTCCCCAGAATCGATACCGTGTTTGCCGGTTTGGGTACGAGTTGTCACCTCCCACCGTGCCGCCGGCACCGGTCCAGGTAACAAACCCACCGATAGCAGTTCGGCACCAAACTCAGGTCCAGGTCTAACGCAGAACACACGCATACAACGCAAAAATGTAAAGTATGAAAAAAATAAAGAAACTAGACAGAATTGCTCTCGTCTTCATTGTTAACACTATGTTTGGTTAAAGGAATTTGAAAGGAAAAAAGAAAAGAAAATGATTTTCTCTCATTTTCTTCACTAAAATGGGAGGAATTTGATTTTCCTTCCACTTGGTAAATTTTGCCTTCTCATTTTCTTTTCCTTCCACTTTTCCTTTTTTTTCCCTATAACCAAACATGAAAAACTATTTTCCACTACATTTTCTTTTCTTTTCCCTTTCAAATTCCTTGAACCAAACATAGTGTAAAAGAAGAGATATGTCATTTTGCACCTCTTATATCACACACCCTTATCCTAGACTAAAGCTATTTGATGAACACAATCTATCTCTATACAAAGGCAGCATGATTTTTTTCCCGCCTATGTTTATGGGCCTATTTACGGGTATGGGCCAGAAATAATCAAAGAAAAATTCAATTCACGGAAATGGGCCAACTTTTATTATAAAAAAAAATTAATTTTCCAATACTACTTCTATACGAAAACACAATTTTTTAAATTAATTAATTTCATAATTATATTTTTTAACAATTCCACTTGAAAACAAATTTATTAAGTTTTTATTTAATTTATCACACAAATTGGCAAAACAAAATAAATTGAAAAAAAATTTTAAATTTTACATTTCTGGTATTATTAAATTAATAAAAAGAATACAAATAATAAATAAATGCTCTGAGATTGATATATTATTAGAACTCCACAGCCAATTACATCGATAAAGATTATAATTATATTATAATAATATAAAAATAATATAATATTATTACTATTATTTTTATATCTGGCAACTTCCCACGTTCCTCCAAAAGCAGAATTTCCGTGCAGTAACCCATATTCCAGTGCAGCAACTTCCCACCTGTGAATAACAATTTTCCACAACAGCCCACTCTCCACTTAATAACTTCCCACTCATTTCAAGGTTATAAATAGACCACAACATCCAAATCCAGACCACTTTTCTATTCATCCTTCTTATTGTTGAGAGAACCAGCGTTGAGAGAATGAGTAATTCCAGAAACAAAGAACGAGAGGGTATGTGGAGAGACTTGAAGGGATAAATGATAGCAAGTCTGACTGGGCAATTAGGGTCCCAGCTGTCCGTGTCTATCACATTCTTTCCCGAGAGAGGACCATGGATATTGTTTTTCACGACAGATTTGTAAGATGCATTTATTCAATTGTTCAGGGTCTAATATGAATTCATGCAGTGGTTTTACATACGGAGTATAACATATTTCTTTTCAACAGGGCACACGAATGCATGCAAAATTGAACAATACAGAACTAGACTATAAAATGAAGATCTATCCACCGACGCACAAAAAAAACTGTAAAGATAATTCAAACCCTTGAAAAAAATATTAAAACATATAAATATATACATGAAAATGAAAATAATCATGAATAAACAATTCTCGATCTCCAGATTGGATAGTAAACATCATTTTCTGAGAGAATCTGTCTACGCCGAGAATATATTAACATAGAGAAATTCAAGAAAAGTGAATAAACAATATGTACTGAAAATAAATTCATATGTAATCGGTGTTCTTAAATCTGATAGATAAAATGAAGATCTATCCACCGACAAATAAAAAAATGTAAAAATAATACATATACTGGGAAAAAATATTGGAAAGTACTGCAAATGAAATTATATACACGACAACGAACTCAATTATGAATAAACAATTCTCGATCTCCAGATTTGATAGTATATTTTCTGAGAGAATCTGTCTACGCCGAGAAGATATTAACATAGAAAAATCCAAAAAACAATCAAAAAGTTCATTTCAAAAAATAATTATAGGAAAAATGAAAATCAAAGGAGCTGAATGCCATTGTAATGGAAAAAAACAAAACACAATTATTAGTTAAAATTTTGTTAGAATAGAGAGAGAGAGAGGGAGGGGCGAGAGATAGAGAGTGAGAGAGAACGGTGGAAATGAGAAGGCAAGAAGGGATTAGGGATGCATATAGGAGGTGGGCTGAATCTTTGGGCCGGGCTGAGAAAGAGGGGGGAGGGGCTGATTTTGTGGGCCCGTTGGTTTTTTTATACTCCGTATTTTATTTTTGAAGTGGATAAAATAAATATTAAATTTTAAATTTATTTAATTTTTATTAGATTAAAAAAATAAGAGTTGTAAAAAAATCAAAATTAGTAAATAAATATATTAAAATTTGGTTTTGTAAATATTTATATGTAACTAAAAATATGACAGAGAAATGAATATTACTTCAAGATGGGTAGAAATTAATACTACATTTGTGTTTTAGTATTTGTTCACTTTTAACTTTTTTCATTCAATTGTTTTCAATTTTTTGTTCTATAATTAAATAGCATATATATAGTATATCATTTAGATATAAAATAAATAAAAAAAACTATGAATGTTAGTGAGGAGTCTAGAACTTACCTAAGTTCTGATAGAATTTGCAAGTCAGACTCCAAAATGTGGATTTACTGGCAGATATGCATTCATCCGAGTTTTTGAATAATATTCGAGCTTCTGGAGTTACAAATCACGAGCTTACTTTGAAGGTTGGTACACCAATAATGCTGCTCAGAAATATCTACCAATCCATGGGTTTGTGCAATGGAACTAGACTAATTGTGACAAGATTGAGAAATCACTTGATCGAAGGGAAATTGATGACGGAAAAAAATGACGGTCATGAAGTTGTAATCCCTAGGCTGTCATTAACCCTCATTGGTACATATGCTGTACATTACAACAAATTTTAGTATACATTGGAAAGTTAATTAATTGACGTATTTGTAGTTATGCATTGTTTTTCTGTGTCATATAGTTTCTTTACAAAATAAATTTTTCGCCGTGCATCCCACGGGTTAGAATCTAGTAACAACAAACTCACTTAGAACGTTGTACTCCAGTTCAAAAAAAATTTGTTATGATAGTTGAACCAAAAATAGAAGATATTGTTTTGCAGATGAAGCTTAGATATTACCGTATAATTATAACTCCAAAACAATTTTTTGTTGTTGCATGCTTAATACCTTTGCATAAAACGAACGGATTCTGCGTGCTTCACGTTTTTTCTTAAAGAAATGGCTTATCATGCAACAGTTCTTTTACCACAAGAACTAGTTCACAACTTTTGAAAATTCAAAGACTAATTACCCACATATAGAAGAACACAAGAGTATTTATGCATATAACTCTAAAATAATTATCACGTGCAAACACCTCTAGAATTATTAATACGTTGATACATGAGTTTGCTTAAAATATTCTAAAAGAAATTAATGAGTGAGATTCTACCCATATCCGTATTTGATAGACATACAACAAAAAATTCCTAGTTCCACCTAGACAATCTCACTGCAGTACTCTAAAACCGAGAAACCGGCCATAGTGAAGAATCCCAATAACCGTAGTGTAATCCATTTATATTAGCCAGCTACAGCATGGACCAACAGAACTGACAAATGCTTATTGATTCTCAAATCGTAATACGCAAACAAATCATACAACATGACAGAATCACAACCTCAAATCTGCATGTGTAGTTTATACATGCTGTATTATTAGACAAAAGGAACGGTGGTCGCGTTATTATATGGAGTATTTGTTTAGGATATACAAAAAAACACACTCGCACTTAAGAGCTGATAAGATCTTATGTTATAACAGTTGGAGCTGATCGGCCAGTGAATTCCTCCATCTTAGACAGCTTGAGAGCAACATCCACCTATGCCAAGATGAAAGAGGGAATTAAGAACAAAAGTTGAAAAATTATTACCAGAGGGATGGGATGTGATGGGGGCATGTAGAAAAGATCGCAGCTAACCAGAGGGGAAAGTGCGTCGTGGGATTCTCTTCCGGTCTTGGATGAACCAATCTCATATTGCTCAATGTAGAGACGGATGGTCGCACCCTCAGATCCAGTTCCAGAGAGACGGAAAACCTGGTTTCGTGTGGTACCAAATTAATACTACTAAGACATCCCCGAATCATAGAAAAACACAGTTCTGTTTGAGACATTCTAAATGTTCCCTGAACAGAACACTTGAAAAACAATTGATTGTAGGCAACTGCTAGTATATTCTAGTAGGAATGCCAGTTACTGAATATGACATGATGACCCATGGGCAATGCTTGAGACCAGGACCCCTTACCAATCGCGACCCATCTTCAAAGAGATATCGGACACCCTGATGACTTGAGATGGAGCCATCAACAGGATCCTTGTACTCAAATTCATCAGCGTGGACAACCTTCGAAACATCTTACCGAATTCCTGCTATAATCCTAAGATATCAAGGGAAAACAATAATGTCAATTCAAAGACTTATAAGCAAATGAGTTGAAAATCATTAAAAAAGAATTATAGAGAAAGGGTATATTGCTTCTTAATAGCAGATGAGTGATGACTAGAGAAGCCAATGTTAAAAGTGGTAGTTTGGGAATTTTAATTATATCTGCTTCCCGGATGAAGTCCAACAGGGGTTTTGAACATTGAGTCCCTATTAGATGTGGCCACAGGGCCAAATCTGATGTCATTAACTAACTATATTTTTGTACTACAGTTTTTTTTGGTTGGTGGGGCCTTTCCCCCAACCCTCTTTGTGCACAGGACTGTCCCTTTATTATTGAATGCATCCTCATGGTTCAACGCAATCTCTATTCAAGGAAAGTGATTGGCTGATTGCCAAAAATTTGCAAAGAGCCTATATTCTTTAGCAATCAATTTTCTAAATATAATGGAGTTAGAAACAGAAACTGAAAAGTGAACCATATAATAGCTACACACTAAATATTCCCAGAAAGAAAGTGCTCAGAAAATAAAAAATGGTACTTGTTAACTTCATCAAGGGAGGATTGCAGGTTAACCAAATGAGCCATCAGTTCCTTTGCACCAGATGCATCAACATTCTTGCAAAACAAAAAATCAGTAGTTATATATGACATATCATAAGGGATACTCCTCAAGTCCCAAAATGAAGGTAATTTTGGGAGTTTGTGCCAAACTTCAACAATTAAGTAAAAAAATTATATTGTTATATTTTTATTGTGAAATGTAGTTTCAAAATTTGTAAATTTTATGATTTTGCCAGCATTATTTTAAAAGAAAATAACAGTTAAAGTTGAGCACGGCTTTTCGAAGAGGCACAACATTTTGGGACAGAGGGAGTGGTAGTTACCTCATAGTCATATCTGGTATAATAGTGGCGTCAATAGGTGGCCCAATGTTGACGAACAATGTCTTCTATTGTTACAAGTTTGCCGCTTAGGTTTTCCTTATTTCTATGCGCCAAAATATTCAGCCAGGCTAAAACAGCCCAAATTCCATCCTTTTCACGAATGTGATCTGATCCTGTTGATAAATAAATAAGGACAAAAGTAAAACACAATGCCTGCATTAATAGCGTTGGGTTATTCATTGATCATGTAAATGCTAAAGGATTCCTACCTGTCCCAAAGCTTTCTTCACCACAAACTGAGCATAGTCCAGCATCCATTAAGTTACCAAAAAACTTCCAACCGGTGGGCACCTGAAAAGAGAAAACAACTGTAATCAATATGTAGGCTTAACCCAGACCTTTGGTGTCCTACTGAGTTAAAAAGTCTTAAGTTCAAACCCCATTACACCCTAACATATCCCCAGGTTTCCAAACACTTCCTCTGCATGTTCACACAAAACATGCACAATACAGTAAAACTAAAAGAAAAGGTAAAGACAAATAATTTGTACCTCAAAAAATTTTAAATTGAGGTGTTTAGCCACCACATCTAGAGCAGCTGATGTGGGCATGCTCCTGCAAAAAAGTGGTAGCATAGTAACGTGAAAGAAAATATGCATGGAATAATTTTGTAAACATAAACCTTGTTCAAGTTTCACTGGATTTCAGATTATTAACTGCAGACCTGGCAACTCCTTTTAGGCCTCCAGAAAAGTAAGGGATTGCTTGAACAGCATTAGCAGCTATTATAGCAACAGAATCAGAGGGTGTCACGAAGAACCTGCAACATATGATAGTTAAATAATTCTATACATAATTAAGGATGAATAAGAAAATAGCCAACCGTAATGAAGTAATTTAGTAAAACATCACCTTTTCCCAAGAATCATATTGCGGTCCGCATCTCCATCAGCAGCAGCTCCAAATTCCGGTGGGTTTGATTCGGTGTGAGTCTTAGACAGTCCCATACGCGCAACCAACTCTTTTGCATATGTCAGATTGGGATCAGGATGACCTCCACCGAAGTCCTCCTGCTCACATCAAATAATGTAGAAAACAGAACAGTAACCTATCAGGTAAGAAATCCTTAATGTATAAATTCGTTCCTAATAAAGGCAGATGCTCATATGACCTTTGGTACACAGTTTATTAGTGACCCTTCTTCAGCACCAAGCTCATCCACAAATATACGTTTAGCATAAACTCCAGCAACACCATGAAGTGCATCATAGCTAAGTCATAATACATGGAATAGCATCCAATAAACAATCTTAAACTGAAAATATGAACTCTCCTGAAAAAATAAAAGCATCAGATCTAATCATGTAAAAAAACACTTACCAAAATGTAAAATTTGGAGAAGAAAGCAATATCTGGATACACTGGAAATCAAATATAGACCTGAAACAAACAAAAATAATTATGACCATATAAACACTAAAAATTGGGGAAAATATAAACTATGGTCAACAGATTTAGACAACAAATGTAACAGAAAAACACAACAAACTACACAAATAGGATCAATCAACAATGACGACAAAATACTACAGCGTACTTGATAATTGATAAAACAACATACATTTTTCCTTTATAATAACTCGTGCAGCATTACCATATTTATAGATATCAGAGGGCACTGCCACTTATCAAAATATATTGTTATCAAAGAGCAGCAACAAATTCAAACTAAAGGACAAACATGGCATACTTCATCAATTTTACATAGTCAGTAGTAGAATCAAAGACATCGACATCAAATTGTCCTTCTGGTCCACTGAAGCTTTTCACACCTACTGAAGAGATGTCCACCTTTAATGTAATTTGACAATGAGAACTCACAAACACTTCTACATTCTGAACGATAATTAAAAATATATACAAAGCATTGCATAAGTAACAGGTCATACATCAGGCAAGTCCTCTGCAATCAAGTATTCCTTTATTGTTGTGGTGTTCTCATAGATCTTGTTAGTGATACCTTCTGGTGCAGGACCACCATTTTCCATGTTGTATTTAATTCCAAAATCCTATAAGATATCCACCAGCCACATGAAATAAAAAGTAAAACATTGTAGTTGGAAGCATATGATATTATGATAGGACCAATCAGCACATGCTCGGGTATTTTAATCACTTTTAGATAGCCTACACAAAATAAAGAGTGGATAGCAGAATACACATTGCAGGAACCAACCTCATTGGGACCACCAGGGTTGTGGCTAGCTGTCAATATAAATGCCCCATTTGCCTTTGATCCCTGTATCAACGAGTAGAGAAACAAATATTAAAATAGTTAGGGGCATGGTAACCAAACTTTTACATAACAAGAGAGGAAAGCAGACTCGAACATAAATGAGCAAATGTGAAACAAAAGTTAAAAAACATATATTTCTATGGGAAAGAACTTACATCAGCCGAAACTCTTTCACGGATAACAGCAGATACAGCAGGAGTAGACATTAATCCATTTAGACCAACCCAAACACGTCTAACTCCATTTGCAGCAGACATTTTAATAATAATCTGTAGTAAGAAAAAAAAAGAATAAAGTTTAATATACTATTCTACCAATCTATATGAAGCACCATAGGTTGCCTAAAAGTTGTTGAATGTTGGAGATACAAGTCTAACGAAACAAGTCACCACCTGCTAGATAGTGAAAAGCAATGTTTGGACTTTAAAGAAGTAAAATGAATTTGGACTTGTAATCAAATACTGAATCTAAAACATCAGCTATTTTATTGTTGTTTTCTTAGACCTGTAAAAATTTTGAAATCTTTTGGCTCTTACAAAAAGTAATTGGCTTCTAGAAGGCCACACCTAATAAAATAGTGAGATTATAGCGCACACTTCCTGTTCCGAAGCCAGCTTCCCAGAGTATAACCCATGCAGAAACAATTTCAATAACTAAGTTGAAATGCAATTTTGCTTCTACTGATTTTAAAACTAGATAAGTCCAGTTTTATAAAGTTCCTCTTAATGACTACGGATGGAAAAAAATATTGAATCTTAATTACCTAAATCCATGACATTTTTAAGTGTTTTGGCTCTTCCAAAAGAATATAGACTTCACAACGGGAAGTTTGTGCTACATTGTCACTATTTCATTTGGTATGCCCCGTGCAGATACATTTTCAATAACTTGAAATGTCATATGCCCTTCATGATGATATGGCGATGTAGCATTTGTGCAATTTAATTTAATATAATAAGACACTTAGACATCCTGCATGAATTTAGGATCATATTGGCTATTGAGAATTTAGATGTCATATGTATTGCGTTCCTCTAAATGCCTATGAAAGGAAAAGCAAAATTGAATCTCAATCATGAACTTTTTATTAGTCCTTTCCCCCTAAATTTTAGCTCTTCAAAAAAGTTATGGGCTTTTAACTCAAATAACTCAAAAGCTATGGGCTCTTCAAATGACTATATGTAAATGATTATTAACTCAACACTTTTGCATTAATCTTATACTAGTTTAGACATTTAAGCCAGCAAATTAGCAATACCACTATAACTAAGTTAAAATGTCCAATTGCTTCTACTGGTTTTGAAACTAGATAAGTCCAGTTTTATAAAGTTCCTCTTAATGACTACGGAAGGAAAGAAATATTGAATCTTAATTACCTAAATCCATGACATTTCAAAGTGTTTTGGCTCTTTCAAAAGAACATAGACTTCACAACTGGAAGTTTGTGCTACAATGTCACTATTTCATTTGGTATGCCCCATGCAGATACATTTTCAATAACTTAAATACCAAACATAAAGCGTGCTACCAAGAAGTGAACACTAGGTCCACTTCAAGGACTACATGTTTACATCACCAAACTCACACAAATTAGCATATCCCAGACCCCCCCCCCCCCAAAAAAAAAGAATCCCCGCATCACAACGTGACAGCCCTTCTGATCTCTGTTTTAGGGTGACATAATAACTCCCATAGTCACATGCTAATTTCTAGTTAAGACAACCTAAAAGTGACGGCAAATCTTATGAAATTGCACCTGGATTGCATCCTTAGAATAGTACCGGCCATCGCCAGAGACCACAAGTGTAGCGCCTGCACAGGAGAAAATGCAATCACGAGAATGCACATTGATACAATAGATGATAGAATGTATAACATCCTGCTACACTTAAAGAGATGAAGATTTTAGTCATTGAAGAAAAGTAAGGGATGCATGTTAGTAATTTCATAAAATGCCAAACTAAACATTATAGCTCATAAAAAAAACCCCAGCTCATCGAAATAAGAACTCCAAACATCTTCCAATTCCCATCAGTAAACACTATTTGCATAATGATGAAACCAAATATCAATGTGATCAAAATCACTAAGAACTTTAAGATGTATAATCATGCCTTAAGCATAGATCTAAGAATTCATGTTAAGAATCTTACACCAATTAAAATAACAAAAAAAGTAGAAAACAACGGGAAGTGATACAGTTTAGGAAGTCAAACGACACTCGAGTCAAATCACACTAAAAAAAATAAATTCAATCCATCAAGTAGTGAAGCCCAATATCTTATCAACTCATCATTATTTCTTATTCTGATGTGGGACTTTAACAAGCAAATCCTGATTCATCATCATGGTACAAATGCACGAGAAAGCTATATGGAGGACTGGAAGTAAATCAAATCAAAGGTTACACAATTTTACCATTATCTTCCACCTCAGATTACCGAGTGGACTGTGCATAGACTGTTTTTGATCATGAAACATGGACAAATGACAACGTGAAGGAAAAGGCAACCTCAAATCGATTAAACATGTACGGAATGTTCAGAATAAGGGAATAAAACTTTCAACCTGCATTACTTCTAGTTTCAGTGTTTCACCCAAAGACTTATTAGCAAAATATGCAGGCACACATTTTTGAGAAATAAGAGGTGAAAGACTTATGTGCAAAATATGCAGGAACACCGTTTTAAGAACTAAAAGGTGCATTAAAAAACTAAAACAGCATTTTGGGTATGAATAAATTCTCCCTGCATAAAAAATCAAAATTTCTGAAGAAACCAGAGTAATTGTAGAAATGATAATAACTGTGAATGACTTAGATTCATTTAACCCACATATTCAATTAAAACTATCCATGTTTCATAGTTCCAAACCTTTTTGGAAACACTAGCACTTTTACATAAGTGATTAAAAAAGGCATCACAAGTATATTTACCATGAACTTTATCAACCCCAAGAGCATTGAATGTTGACTGAACGAAATTTTGCAAATACTTAGGTTGCTTGAATACCTTCACCTGAAACAGTCCCCATAATGTTATATTAAATCCATGTAGAGTAGAAGACAAACAAAAGACGTAAGCATCTCTTTCAATAAAAAACAAGCATATGATTGTTTTAGAAGCTCTCATACCCATCAGGTGTGCTACTGTTCAATCTTATAACCTCAACAAGAAACAAGTATATGATTTACGTTGCGTTCTGTTTGCCTGATTTTTTGAAGATCTAATCTGATCTGGTCTGATCTGGTCCTAAGGTTCACAATCTTTTTATGGAGCTTAGTATATAAATATTATGAATGAATTGGGCTCTTTGAAAAGAAAAAAATCCGCATGTCGGCCAATGAAAAGTGTGAGATGCTCCACATTTCACATGTGGACCTTAGGATGATGGAAGCAAAACTCCTTCACTAGAGCCTTGAGGAATAAAAGTTATAACAATAAAATCACCAAACTATCTATATAGCTGTTTCCTTTTAGATAGTAAATTGACTCAATCCAGTTATACTTTTGTACTTATAACTATAACTGGGGCTCAGGAAGCCCACATCCACTACCTCTATGTGGCTTGACCAAAATGGCCAATCCGGAATTTTCTTGGGAGGATTCAAACTCATTAGTTTAAGTGTCCACACGCACTCTGGAACATGGCTCCCCCTCAAGTGCTGTTTGATTTGATTCTTAATAGACATTCTAGTGTGTTTGTCTGGAGAGAACTTGGCCAAATCTTTTTTTTTTCATTTCACTTGGCATGATGTTTAATGCAAAATAAATGATAGCAAGTAGACTCTTGTTTGCCTTGTGCTCTAAGCAAGATTACAATACAAGATGAAGTTCTTAACACTAGATCTACTACCAATGATCATAGATTCATAAGATAATGAATAATCACCAAAACTAAATCCACATTCCCGTCAAAACGCATTCTAGTAACAGATCACGACTTATCACAAAATGAAGCCACTGAAGTAGAAAAAATAGAAAACCACCAAAAGAGGAGGTGATTTCAAGCAGACTTAAGGGATACGATTGGATCAGATCAGGTTTTAACCGATTCCTAATGATAATACAAGTAATAATTAATAACTAAAGACAATTAAAAATAATAAATCAGTGATCGAGCGCGCAAACCTTCTTCCTAAGGCCTGAAGTTCCAGGCTTCTGGCCTTCGAATGGCGTGGTCTCAACGTTGCTAACTTTGAACATCCCCATTTCTTCGTTTCCGCCTCCAACTAACAATCGATAGATCTATTAGCGAGCGAGAAATCGGAGCGTAGCTGAGTTACCTAAGGGCTTGTACAGAAGGCAAAGAAATCAGGCGTATGCATATACTGTGAGAAAGAGAGAGAGAGAGAGAGGAGATGGCCAGATGAGGGAGGGGGGGAAGGTTGAAGGGACCTCACTTAGCTTTCGGCGAGAGTCTCGCGGACTCGCGGTTGGTATAGAAACAAATAAACAAGGAAGAGCGTGTTCCACAATCGGAACCCCAAATTTCTGAAAGAAAAAATTGACCCCAGGGTGAAAGTGAAGCAAATCAAACCATGGCCATGTGTCTGGGAAGTTGGTATATGGTACATCCGGATGTACTTAGAAATAGATACATCCTGGTAGTACTCATTTTTAAATAAAGTAATACTCATTCTCGTATAAATATAAACATTCATTTCGAAATACGTACTACTCATTCTGGCAAGGTAGTACTCATTTTAAAATAAAGAAGTACTCATTTTTACACATTTGTCTAATATATTTATACGGAGTAATAAATAGCGTAGTGTTCATTCTTAAAAACATAATACTCATTCTCAAATAAGGAAATGTTCATTCTGAAGTAAAGCATTGTTCAATTTTTTCACAATTAAAAAGTGCAGTACCATCATCAACTTCTTCCTCTATTCGATTCGTTCCTACTCATTTATACTCTCTGAGCATGGAGAATTTAAAACCCAGGTTTATTCATGTTTGTATTGAATAAAAAAATGATAATTCTCATAAGTGCTAGTACTCATTCTCAAATCTGCTGGTACTCATTGTCATATATAATAGTTCTCATATATGTTCTGAGCATTGGATAAAAAATTTGCAAAATTTACAAAAATACCAGGATGTACCTAAAGAAAGGTACAACTGGATGTACAATATAATTTTCCGTGTCCAGGGATGTTACGGGGTGAACAACACGTACAAGAGGCAGTAAGAAGTTAGGAAAAAGGAACATGCTATATTTACACCAAAAATTGTACCCCATTTATACACCGTAGTTATACACAAACATTTTGATGGTTTACACTAACACAAATGTTGGTGCGTTAACAAAAATTAGTTTTACACCAACACAAAATGTTGGTACAAATCTGCGGGGCACAAAGTGGGGTACAAAATGTTGGGGTATAAGTAGCTTTATCCTAGGAAAAATCTAAAGTACTCAAGGTGGTGAGCACCATATTTACACGAAAATGCTAGGGGTACACTTTTAAAAGTGTACCCCATTTGTCCCTCATCCCCCTCCACCATATAAATGAGTAAAAGATTTAAAAATAAATAAATGATTAAAAATCAAATGAAAATGTGTGGTGGAGAAGGGGTGGTGGACAAATGGAGTACATCTTTAAAAAGGTGTACCCCTAGCATTCCTCTATTTACACCACTTTCTCATAGAGGCACACAAATAGATTCAGCAAAAATAGAAACTGAACTCATTACCCAAATCGAATTATTCAAAACCGAAACTTAAAATGAAGATCCGATATATAACCGAAAATCCAAAATGATCTGAATCAAACCGAAACCAAACAAAATAATTTATATTCGATTTAAATCCAAAATTGATTAGATCCAAAACCGATAATATCCGAATAGATTAAACCCGAAACCGATTAGATCTGAAACCGATAATACCCGAAACCCGATTAGACTAAAACCGATAGATTCGGAACTGTGTTTGCCTTTCCATAAGCATATTATATTTTTAAATATTTACTTTTATTTTAAAATTTGAACTAATTACATTACTTGCCGATTCCCTCATAAAATGGATTATCATCTTGAAAAAATTACAAAATATCATGCCTTAAATTTATTATATTTAGAAATTGAAGATAAGTTATACATGTAAAATTTTAGATGAATAAAGTGAGCCAACTATTTTATTATTAACAAAATTAAAGGGAATAAAATATTTGAAAAACAAGGTGGAGTATCAATTGAAAAAAAATTAGGTCTAAGAGTTGAAGGTGAATGGAAATTGAGAAATGAGTTGAATTGTGGCATAAGAAAATTAATAAGATTTAGCAGAGAAAGTGAAAAGGAATGGGGGGAATTTTGAGCATAAGAAATTTGATTAAGAAAATAAAGTCTTTGATTAGATATCCTTTATTATTATATTTGAGACTCAAGCTCACAGAATGTCGACATGTGGTGGGTCTACTTGGCATATTTTTTATGAGTCATCTGCCACCTTTGATTACTTTAATGACTTGACACTTTTATATTAAAATATAGAAATATCCAATTCTAATTAATATGTTTAGTATATACCTCATACGACGACTAGAATATAATTATGAAGTATAAAAATAAGAAGATAATTATGAGTAATTTTTAAATTTTTTTCTAATGTATTTTTATTAATTATAATGAGTATAATGTAAAAAACACCATAGTTATTTCTATTGATAATATATTTTTAATTTATTCTTTTATATAAATTAATAATTCCAATGAATAATGATAATAATAGGTTTAAGTTAGAACAAATTGAAAATGTTAAAAAAAGAGAAAGACTATTATAGAAGTAAAATATAAAAAGTATATATCATATTACTTATTTTGACTTCTACCTCATACTTCTCCCTCTTAACTATTACTGTCATTTGAGTTTACTTTCATCTTTTTTTATTGTGTATTCTAACGCCTAACATTTGATAATTTTAAAAATAATTAAAATTTTAATTCTATGCATTTTTTAATTGAGAAAATTACAATATCCAAAATGGACACTTAATCATAATTTTTAATAGAGAGAGAATTATGTGTATTTCTTTGGTGCACCTTAAGTGCATATCATTTTTGTGGACCTTCTCACATAAAAAAATATTTTTTTTAATTTTTTTTATTTATAAAAACAAATGTTTATTTAAGTAATAAAGAAATACTTATTTTGCTCATATGTAGGTCCATGATAGACCTTAAATCCACCATACAGTTTGTTGAGAATTATTCATATGTTTAAAACGAAATTCATAGATTGAAATACGACTTTCAATTAGTTGGAAATTAGTTAAACCAACGAAAATATAATTCATATAATTATATCGTCAAAAAATGTAAAAGGGATTAATTTTAGAATTATTGAAGATATTTTTGAAAATAATGCATACCAATGTTGACTACTTAAGTAAATTGTTTTTTTGGGAAACCTAATATAAATAAATAACCTTAATTATTTGAAGAAAAGTATACTACATATGTCCCATAAAATTTTTCTAATACAAAAAAAGGTGTCCCATAAAACTTTTCAAATTAAAAAAACAGGTGCACCGTATCCTAAAATCATATATCCTACACATCATACCTTACCTTATTAAAAAGTAGAGGAAAAGTTAGAAAATAATATCAAAATTATACGTAGTACATTTTTAAAGGAGTTCAGTGGTATGTAATTTTCAGATGATAGTCTACTTAATAGATTTCAAAATAATTGCTTGATTGAGAACTTGAACAATGACAAAGAAAAATTGTCATCAGATTTTAGGGAATATTTATCTACAGTGAATGAAGATCAAAGAAAGATATGTGATGCGATAATGGAATTCTGATATCTGAAAGTGGAGGTTTCTATTTTAATATGGTTACGGGAGACTTGGATTTTTTTTTATATAGAAACCAATGTCTACTTCTCAAGATCGAATGGTATGTAAGGTTGTTTTGAATGTTGCATCCAGTGACATTGCAACATTGCTTTTGCCTGGTGGAAGGACAACACACTCGAGATTCTCAATCCCTTTGGCTTTAACTGAGTGCTCAACCTGTGCTATCAAACAAGAGGGTCCAAAAGCAAAATTAATCTAACAAGCAAGTGGAATCATATGAGATGAAACATGTGTGATGAATAGATTTGCTTTTGAGGCATTAGATCATACAATGAAAGATATAATGAGGTTCTATAATAATAACTCTAAAAATGAATCATTCAGGGGGAATATTAGTACTCGGAAGTGATTTCCGCTAGATCCTTTCAATTTTACCAAAGCTTCGAGAGAGGAAATTGTAGGTGGTATCATAAATTCCTCAAAATTGTGGGAGTATTGTAAAGTTTTTACGTTGACCAAGAATATGATATTGCATTCATCTATGTCCTCTTACGCACATAATGATACACAAGTTCTTTCTGATTGGATAATCAAAAGTGGAGATGAAAAGCTTGGTCAGGTGATTGATAGAATTGCTAATGTTGAAATTCCACCCGGATTCGTGATTCTTGACATAAGTTATCCTCTCAAGAGTATAGTATTGGAATTCACTTATCTGAACTTATTGGAGAATATGGAAAATATTCTTCTTTAAGATAGGGCACCATTAGCACCCACTCTCGAAGTTTTTAAATTGGTAAATGAGTTTGTCCTATTCCTCATTCTCGATGATGAAAAAGGAGTACTTGAGTTATGACTCTTAATGACAAGCAGATGCCAATGTAGGTGTTGAGAATGATAAGATAACATTTGAATTTTTGAATGAAATCAAATATTTAGATACGAACTCGTATCGGATAGGGAAGACTCAGAGCGTCTTCGAGCTCTTGAGAATATGGGACAAGGAAGAAGAAGAAGAATTGAGGCGAAGGAGAGAATCGGCGAACCGAGAGGGGAGAAGGAATTAGGGTTTTGATTTTTTTATTGGTTGATTTACTCTAAAGGGGGTTACATCTCCGGGAAGAAGGAAATCCTAACGCTAACTTGACGGTTCAATAAAAGCGACGAGGGAAAGAACCGTAAAGAAACCTCGAAGGAGCTTATAATTTCGCTCACCTAATAAAATCTACATTAAAATAATAATAATAATAATAATAATAATAATAATAATCATAAATATATAATCTAACATCCTACTATGTAATCCATAACAGGATCCCAAACCAAAAAAATAGTTTTGAAAAAAGGGTATTGATTATGTTATTTGAATTGTGTAATGATACAAGATTAATGGGTTAAGCACTGAAATAGCACTACTGTATAAGAATTAATACGTATTTAGCACAGCTACTGTTTACACATGTTTAGTTCCGGTTTTGTCCCTGTGATATTAACGATGCGGGAAATTGATTTGAACCTGGCAGTGAATATTTCCCGATTATTGAGGACGGCTATTCCGGCACCTGGTTCGCTTTCACTGTTTGTTGGATG